CACTCCATTTGATTTGTGGTTCATTGCACTCATTGATTTGTTAGTTGCTTTTCTTTTCTGCTTTGTGGGTTCTGCCTGCGTGTATGGCCCCTAAGCCTTGTTCAAGAAATGCACACATGTGGTGGGGGTAATACAGTGGCCACTGATCATCACTCAAAGGGTTTATTCTGCTTTGGAGAGGCCCATTTCTCAGAGCCTTGCCTGATTTGTAAAGTTTTTACCAAATAACTCTGCAGACTGAGTCAAAACTTTGTTCATTCCTGTAGGCGACTGAAAAGACTTTGGGCTTATGTTGGCTCTGTTCTTCACCAGAGTGTCAGTGCTCTCTACTCACTCTGGTAGACCGATTTCTCACCCAATACCATCTATTTTGGCTGATCCTGATCAGCGTTTATCATCCATGCTGATGTGAACGCAATAGGCCCCCCCCCCCCCATTTCTACCTTGGTTAGGGAACAGTCTATGGTCAAGCCAAGTTTTCACAATTCAAACTGCTCAAGGTTTTGCAGCAGGACAGGTGTAGATGTCAGCTCCAAAGGTGACACCTTCACAGTCGTGTGGACAAAATAAGTCTTCAATACATGTTCCCTCCATTTCCTTGCATCCTAAGAATTGTTGCAAGGTTACACAAGCGACCAGTGCCTGCCATACTGCTAACACCATGGTGGCCAAGGCATCTGTGATTCGCATTGTCACCCCACTCAAGCAATCCAGACATTGGATCATTTGCCTCCCTGACAGGTGGGACCTTATCTACTGGTCACATGGACAATTTTAGCATCCTGATTTTTCAGTCGCTCCACCTAACAACATGGAAAATAGAGTTGCCAGTCCTATTCCTGAGGAGATTAGTCTCATCCTTCATGCTGCTAGGAAGCCGACCGCATGGAAAACTTAAACCAAAGTGATAAGCTTTCACCACCTTTGCTCAGCAGCAAGGTTGTCGCTACATACTTGTTCGGTTAACAGCATTGGTTTCTCCTTACCTTGAGAGACAAAGGCTTATCTTATTCAACAATGAAGGTCTATCTGCCATCTGAACGTTTCGACATTGATGGAAATCGGGGCCTTCTCTTTTCGCTGATACTACATTTAAATGTTTCTTAAGAGGCCTCAATAACATAGTTCCAATTGTTGGATCTCACTCACCTCCCTGGCCTCTACCTCTTGTACTTTCTAGACTCATGTGACCCCCTTTGAACCATTGGCATTTTGCACCTTAAATCTCCTTACCTGGAAGATGGCTCCCATGGTAGCCACTACTTCTGCCCGTAGGGCTTCTCTGAACTCTGCACTTCGTGGTTATGTGCACCTCGCCTGATGTTTCGTGCTGACAAAATTGTGCTCTGTCCAGGCGTCTCATTTTTCACAAAGCTCATGTCTTTTCACCTCAATCAAGATGTGGTCTTACCAGCCTTCTTCTACAACCCTCCCTCACCTTTGGAGCAAACACTTCTTATGCTGGATGTTCATCGCACACTCCACTTTTATCTCTCACACACTCAGCCCTTTTGAAAATCTCCTCATCTCATCCTCTGTTACAGAGGCTATAAGAAGGGACTATCCTCTCCTTTCAGAGACTTGCCCACTGGGTAGTTGAGTAAATTTACCTTGCCTACTACCTAGCTGGATTGCCTCCCTCTTAAGGTGTCCACAGTCCCTCCACCACATCTGTGGCCACGTCTTCCACAATCTCTTCCTCTGTTACAGAGGCTGTAAGAAGGGACTATCCTCTTCTTTCAGAGACTTGCCCACTGGGTAGTTGAGTAAATTTACCTTGCCTACCACCTAGCTGGAGTGCCTCCCTCTTAAAGTGTCCACAGTCCCTCCACCAAATCTGTGGCCACGTCTTCCACAGCCTTGAGAGGGGTCCCACTACCTATCTGTGAGGTAGCAGGACACTATGGTATCCATCCTAATTTTATTTATTTACTATCCAGCTGTTACGGCGCCCATCTAGATTCATTGAATCTACTCTAGGTGGCTTACATTCCGAATATAAAACAAAATTTAAAACACACAATATCAAACAACATAAAGATAAGCAAAAGTCAAGATGGTGAGACATAGGGAATTAAGAAATGGAAGGGGGAAAGGCCTGCCTGAACAACCAAGTCTCCACCTCTTTCTTAAAACTTCCCAGCGAGGGAGCCAGGCGAATCTCAGGGGGCAAGATGTTCCAGAGGCCAGGGGCCGCCGCCAAGAAGGCCTGGTTTCTAGTTCTCTCCTTCCAGGCCTCTCTCGGGGTCAAGCCCCTCAGTTGCCCAGCCTGGCTAGATCGAGTGATACGAGTAGAGCTAGGTGGGAGCAGGCGCTCTGTCAGGTATTGAGGTCCTAAAGCTAAATCTTAACAGGTTTTGCCGTATTTCCTACTAGCTGGTTATTTCCCAGTGTCTACATATGCTGTCTGGTCACACCAATAGCTGGCCTGGATTTTCAAATTTCATTAAGGGTAAAAAAAATATCCCTGTAAATGTCAAGATATGAGGGAAAACATGCCATCACTGTTTTGCTAGACTGCTTTTCAGTGTGTTTAGTCAACAACTGAATGCACTGACAGCTTGATTGACCATGTGAGTTGGAATTCTGTTGGTCATTTATTCTCGCATAAATGTAGTGACATAAATTATAGCAGCAAATTGCTACTGATTAACAAGTTACCACAAGTATCGCCCACCATTTACGGATTCACATGATGCGTGACAGAGGGATATACAGTAACTTGCTTACTAGTGGTCACTCGTTGCTAGAGTTACGTCACTGCCAATTTAAGAAACCAATAGGATTGCATTGTTAATTAACATGTTATAAAGAAAGTCCTTTGATGTCAAAAGTGGGGAGGCTTCAGAGGCAATTGAACCTCAGGGCCATGTTTTTAAAAAAAGGCTAGTTCTTTTCTCAGAAAAAAGGCGCTTTGGAGAGGCCTTGTGCATTGTTATTATGCAATATTAACAGTACCTTACATTTTAAAAGTGCTTTTGAGCATACAAAGCACTTCTTCTACGTTGGCTCAGCAAGACTTACAACAGCCATTAACCTTGAATTAGGTCATTGTGATTTGAGTGAGGCTGAACATTGACGTTTGCCCAGGGTGCCGTTAAGTCATTCTGCGCTCAGTACTTAATGGTTGCACACTGGGCTGTAAAGTTTTTAATTTGTATTCGAAACTGGTTTGTGTGTGAGGCAGGCTGCAAGAGCCCCCAAACGGCAGAGTTCCATGAGTGGTGAATTGTGCCACTCCTTTTCCTGGAGGACCTTCACCCGCTCACCTCACCCACGCCATTCCTTTCCTTCTCCCTCACTGTCTCCCTCTGTCCTTCTTCGCCTCTTGCTTCATCTCTCCTTCCTCCCTCAACACCTGGCCTGCCATGCCTCCCAGCCTCTCTCTCTGGCTTCTGTACTCTCCCCTCCTGCTTGCCTCACCCAAGGCGGTTGCCAGCCTATCCTCTGTAGGATGAGGAACTGGAGGAGATGGAGGTCAGGGGAGGTAGCCTCATGAGAGTCGGGAGAGAAGGCAGCAAGGCAAAGCCAGGATTGAAGGCGGAAATAGTGGGTTGCAGTGGCCATCCTGCTGAATTTTATCTACCTCAGATGTTTTTGTGGTAGTTGAACTTCTTGCACATTCTGTTTGTCTGTGGGCTAGCTGCAACTATCTTTATATGCTCTGAAATGGGTATATGCACGGTTTAAAAAAAAATTGTGGTGGTGTCATTTCCTTGAACTATCAGTCTGTGCTTTGGGTGCATATAGTCTTCAATATGCCAAAGTATTGCAAATCTGAAGACCTTTTCCAGCGTTGAAATAGGCATTTGCTGTGCATGGTGTATTTTTCTTCCTTCCAGTAATTTAGCTTGCTTACATTTTTTTTTTCCTTCCTTCCAGTAATTTAGCTTGCTTACATACTAGATATGCTTTGGATATGGCAACTTTTTCTGTTCTGAAATACTGATTTGCAACTCCATTTATCTGACTTGTGTTCCAGTTCTAAGCAACATGCTAAATGTCAAGCAAGATCACAAGGATAGTGGAGTCCCCATTTCCGGGAGAGCTATTTCCACTGGAAATGACATCTCCTGTAGCTGTTAAAGGCACAGCACAGGATTCCTGTGATCAGCGTGGGTGGGAAAAAGGAGGTAAAATAACATGTTTAGGAAGGCAGACAAAATACCATGGTGAGGACATACATGGCCGATGGGTCAGAGGTTGTGCTCACCTGCAGTGTAAGAAAAAGCATCTCTTTCCTGTTCATAAAGCAGCTTTAAAAAGAGTTACAGTGGTGCCTCGCATTACGATGTTAATTTGTTCCAGCAAAATCGCTGTAGAACGAAAACATCGTAATGCGAAAATAAAAAGCCCATTGAAACGCATTTAAACCCCTTCAATGCGTTCTGGGCTGGAAACCTACCGTCCAGCGAAGATCATCCATAGGGCGGCCATTTTCGGTGGCTGTCTTGCGAGGAATCCGTCCCAGAAAACAGCGGGGAGCCATTTTATTTACCCGGTGGCCATTTTAAAACCACCGATCAACTGTTTTAAAATCATGGTTTTGCAAAGAATCGGTTCCCGAAGCAGGGAACCGATCATTGCAAAGCGAAAAAAAACCCAGACCATCACAAAAAGATAGTCGGAATGCGGTTTTGTTGTAATGCGGGACAATCGTAAAGCAAGGCACCACTGTACTTTGAATGGGAAATTAGTAGGGAGAGAAGGAGCCTGCAAAACTGTATGATTTGTAGAATGAGCAAATATTTGTCATAATATGCAAATGAGGCTACCTAGTATTGGGGGACTTGTTGATGAGAGCCCTAGTCTTAACTACTGTAAGTTAACTAGTTCAAAGTGTTTCGAAGCGAACATTTGTTTGTGATGGTGTTACAGTCTTGCTTAAGACAAACTTTTCTTTCATTAAAAGTGTGGAAGAATTAAATATTGCTACATTTTGTCAGAAATGATGCTCCATTGTTACTAAAACTCTACTATACATTTTTATTGTCTTGCAGACTTACATTGGTAGTGTGGTGATATCAATAAATCCATACAGATTGCTGCCCATTTATTCACCTGAGAAAGTGGAAGAATACAGAAACAGAAACTTCTATGAACTACGACCTCATATGTAAGTATGGAGCTGAAATGTTAGGTTCCTACTCTTCTTTAAGCAATGCAGTTTATAGATGGGAACAGCTGTTTCCTGTAAGTAACAGAATGTACTTGATCTATCATGCCTTTAATTAGTTCTTTTAAAAAAAATAAAGTTTATTTGCAGCCCTCTCTTTTTCCAAAGGAGGAAAGCTGGATTATTTTTTTTTACTGGTAAGATTTAGAATTAAGATGAGATGGCAGCTGTGGTTTTTATTTTTGTTTGGTTTTTTTGCCACTGAAATGGGAGGCTTGTGTCTTCTCTGTCCCTCCTTCTGAACGTCAGGACCAGTCCCACTAAGCTTACTGTGATGTGTTGTCATAGGCCTTTTATCTGGAGTGAGCATTTTCTCCCTAGAGTGCACCTTGCCGATGTTGATTCTGTTCCCCATCCACATGGCACAAGGCTTTTTTCAAAAGAAATACTGACAAACAGGACCATTGGCCTAGCCTTGCCCTACTTTTCTGTCCATTCTTGAAGGCTAGTTACATTTTCTTGCAGTTTATTGTGAGATCAGAGTTCAGCACTTGCCTCTAATTTCATTTTTGCAGTTACAGCTTCCCGATCAGAAGCGTTCAATTTACAGTCAATTGGCAGAGGAAACCGACGTTATCAGAAAAGCTCCAGAAGGGAAGCTCAGGCAGGAGATTAGTTTATAAAAACATTTCTAGATGGTTTTCTTCCTTTTCTTTGGAGAGAGGCAGAGGGAAGCCGTTTTAAAGTACAGTGGTGCCTCAACTTACGAAGGTCCCGACATATGACCATTTTGAGTTACAACCAGCTCCAGCCGCAAAATTTGGCTTCTACTTGCGACCGGAGCTTCGAGTTACAACCAGAAAAAAGCAGGGGGAAAAGGTGGGGAATTCAAATTGTTAACTGTTGGTGGCGAAGAGGCTGCTTCTTTGTAGCTCTTTCACCCCAGCAGTTAGGGAGTGTGCAATCGTTCGGACTGCCTGGCAAGGTACAGTGGGGTCTTGACTTGAGAACTTAATCCGTATTGGAAGGCGGTTCTCAAGTCAAAAAGTTCTCAGGTCTGGGTGGTGGGGTTATGTTTCTATGCTGTGATGGGTCTTGCAGGGTTTGTTTGTTTTTTTGTTCTCCCCCCCATTTCTGATGGGTCTTGCAGGGTTTGTTTCCCCCCCATTTCCGATGGGTCTTGCAGGGTTTGTTTGTTTTTTGGGTCCCCCCCCCCAATTTCTGATGAGTCTTGCAGGGTTTGTTTGCTTTTTTGCTTTGCTTTTTTTGCATTTCTGAAGGGTCTTGCACAGATTGTTTGTGTTCTGCTTTGCTTTTTTTGCATTTCCAAATTGTCTTGCACAGGTTGTTTGCTTTCTCCTTTGCTTTTTTTGCGTTTCCGAAGGGTCTTGCACAGTTTGATTGCTTTTTTGCTTTGCTTTCTTTGCATTTCCGAAGTGTCTTGCATGGTTTGTTTGCTTTTCTCCCCCCTCCCCTTTGGCCAGAACGGATTATTCGTGTTTCTGATGGGTCTTGCAATGTTTTGTCTTTTGGGGGGGGGTTGGTGATTTTTTTCCCTTCGGCCAAAACAGATTAATTGCATTTCAATGCATTCCTATAGGAAATGGTTCTTCGACTTACGACCATTTTGAGTTACGACCAAAGTTACGGAAACAATTAAGTCCATAAGTCGAGGCACCACTGTAGTTGTGAAGCAGGTTGCAGTTAAAAAGACACTGTCCTGATAAGCCCTGGGCTCCTTTGTAATGAACAGGGACATACTGGGAGAGAAGAGGGAGAATTTCCCCATTAGAAAGAGCCCTTACTTCTTGTGACTCAGCAAGGTACAGTGGTGCCCCGCATAAGAAAACATCGCTAAACGGGATGGAAAATGCCATTGGAAGGCATTAAACTTAGTTTAATGCATTCCAGTGGCTTCTGTACTCACCGTTAAGCGAAGTTTTCCCCATCCGCAGCCATTTTTGCATCCTCGGTAAGCGAGGGCAGGGCGCAAAAACGCTGCGCGCGGCCATATTGGGCATCCGGCGGCCATTTTATAACCGCTGAACAGCTGATCCGCGGGCGTCGCAATGCAAGTTTTGCCCATTGCGGCGGTCGGGATGCCTTCACATTAGCAATCCCAAAAAAGGGATCGCTATGCGAATTCATCGTTATACGGTGCGCTCGTTAAGTGAGGCACCACTGTATATCCCATGAAGTAGGCATGGTATGGTGGAGTAGGGCAGTGGTAGAAGCAATTTCAGTGTCAGTGAGATGTTCCCAGTCAGTTATTGTTGTCAGGTGTTCCTTTGTTGTTAATAGCTGGGTATGGACCATACAGCAGCTTGAATCTTCAGGTGGTTGTGGAAGGAAAGGGGGGGCATGAGTGTGAACTCTGTTGTGTTTAGAAAAGGAAAGTTACAATCAGTGCCTGGTATGTTTAAGCCAAACTATTTAGATGTGTGCAGATTCAGAGCCACTTCATGAAAACAAGTCTCTTCCACCAAGCAGTGTGTTTCCAAATTATCTTCAGAATTAACTCCATGTAGCTCTTAAAAATTTCATATTTCAGTTTAAACACATGCAAAATATTCTACAAAACTATTAACTTTTTTCAGTGAATGGTTATCTGTTGGAAATGAGGTTGTTTTGAAAAAAAAACCAAACAATTTAGAAGCATTGAGAAGAAAAGAAATTAGAAACTCTAGTAGGGGATAAGCTATTTAAAATTTTTAATTATACTGATCTGGTTTTCAGTTTTATAACATGAGCAATATTTGAACTGAAGATTGCTGGTCTGTTTTAATGAAGTACAGTAGTGAAATGTTTTAAAATAATTCAGAGGTTTTTAGTGCAATATGATGATTATTGTATAGGAGAGACATGATTTATTAGAAAATACACAATGTTATTACAGAAATCACTGCTTGTTTACATTTTCACGTGCTGTAGAAATTTGGGGTTTTTTTTGGGGGGGTTGATTTTTGTTTTTGTTTTTTGGGGGGGTGAGTTTTTTTGGCAAAACTTTAGATTTTGGAATAGTACCCTTTCTCATTGTCTAAGCGTTTCTGAGCTGAATTTGATGAGAAATGCTGAGCATGCCATTACAAAGCAATTTGGCTATGTACCAGAAAACTAACAAATATTTTTGTAGGTGGGAGACTTGCTAAGTGGGATTTACTGCTTTGTGCTATGAATTGTATTCTTGCTTGTCATAAGAAAAGAATTAACTTTGGTTATAAGCCAGCCAAGCTAAGCATTTCCATTTCTCTTCATGTCAGTGGAAAAGTTAATCATATACTTACATCTTTTCCATTGAAGTCAATGGGGTTTTATTTTGGCTGGATTGTGCCCTTTGTGTGTTAAACCCAGGTGTTGCACGATGAAATCAGTAGGTAAATTTTGTTTTGAGTCATTTTTTTAAAGAAACATTGAAAATCGGGCAGATCTGATTTGCAGCTGAGCACAATACTGTACACTTCTTGTTGATGCTGTTCTCAGTGTTTGCATGTTTGTGGCATCAAGCCCTTGTCATGCACTGCTGTTTTTTTTAAATTTGTAACATTGTGGCTGACAAATAGATCTATGATCTGAAAGGTTTGTACAGATTGTTCTTTGTGCTTGCCAAAAGTATTACAGTATTAGAATATGGATTTAGGAAGCTTTCGTTTTAACCAGTGTGGCTACTCCTGCTTTTTTAATGAGACCAACCAGCTATATTTGTGGAAAACAACTTATAGACAGGCATCAAGAAACAGCTGTGAAATGAAAATAATTTCTTCTGCTTTCTAACTTAAGAATTGTATCTCTCCCTCTTCCCTGTCTCTGCTGATGAGGTGGGCAAAATCAGGTGGGCTCCCATCAGGAGCAAGCAGCCATCAACCTCCCAACACTAATTTAGTTTTGTTCTGTTCAGAAACACCCCTTGCTCTTTCTATGAGTTATGTTTTGAGGTCCCCAGTGCCTTTCATAATCACCTCTATGGGATGTGGGAACATTTATTGAACATTTCCCCCCTTGGCCATTGGAAGACCAAAGCGAGCTTTTAAGTTAACCCCCTCCAACCTTTGGAAAAGCAAAATGTTTTTGGAGTTGGTGGCGACATGGGTGTCTGTGTAGCCCTCTGAGATCCAGGGATAGTCTATTGACTAGATGGGCGGGATATAATTTTTTTTTAAAAAAAGGATAGCTTCGTGTGGCCCTTGCATCTCTAGAGTTTCTCAGCCTCTTCTCTACTGTGCATCTACATACAAGTGTATATATCATTTGCAGCTTCTAATGTCTTGAGTGTGAGCATTGCAAATAGAAGTTAAATGATATCTATGACTCTTTCGGAGGAGACATAACCTATTGGATTATACCGAGAGTGCTGGAGGGCAGGTTGAACAGTGCTTCTTTTTTTGAAGACGCTACCCTGGCTTTTTGGTTTCATTCAGCTGCTCATTTGCCCAAGGACAGCCTTGCTTGCCATATTGTATTGACACTTGGCCAGTTGAAAGCTGGTGGACACTCTGAAGCCACTGCGAAGAGATTGCCAGAATAATTGCCAAATCAAAGGACGTGTTGCCTGAATGGAAATGGGCTGCAGTTTTGAAAGAAATGCTGTTAGCAGCAGTGACTCTTGGTTTGGTTAAAAAAATAAATTAATTAAGCATCATTTGCAACTGTCAGAGATCACAACAATGGCCCTTTTGTTCTATTCTGTACCTGTTGTCTTTAGTCCACATTAATGGCAGGAACAATGGCTATTTATATTAGTTTTAAATGAGTGAGTACATATAAGTGAAGCCACTCTTTGATTTCTTTTTTCTTATCATGTGAAAAGAGAGCAGTTGTGTAAGCCCCCAGAGGTTGACAGCCAGCATATTTGGCTAGAGGGGATTTGGGTTGGTTTCTCTTATATAGTTGTGCTTTTGAATTGATTAGATTTACAGTCATACTTTATTAAGTTTTCCAGGAACTATTATTTTTAAAACAACAAATATAGTGGGGTTTTTTTTAAAAAGATAATAACCTTTGTA